ATTCCCATAGTATAAAATAATGCCTCTGAGAGAATAAAAAAGAAGAAAAGAAAAATTAATAAACACCCCGGAACACAGTCTAAAAATAATGTTTAAATAGAAAATACTTACATTCCATTTTGCAGTGATAGGTTCAGAATATCAATTGTGCATTTTAACTTTGTTTAAGTAATCTCTATATTTATCTGAAACTTTGATAACATTATTTATACTTCCTAAATAAAAACTTGATACATTATTTATTGATGTTTTAAGTATCATATTTATTCCTTGCTTGGGGACCCAGTCCAGTTCTTCCCTCATATATATATATGATAGCTATAGACCGTATGGGCTGAAGTATTTTGAGTACATGGGAGGTAGCATAGGCTAAAAAATCGGAAATATTTTTTTTTTCATAAAATAGATTTTTTTAAATAAAATTTTTTTTCCAAAATTCGATTTTAAAAAATTCCACGGGCAACGCCGGACACTTCAGCTAGTATTTAGTATTTCTAATAAAATTGAAGCATTATAGGAACTGATTACTAACCTAAACTTACTTTTTATAATCCTTTTCATTGCAATTTGAAATTGTACACATAATTTGCGGCTAAGATTATATCAACCGTTTTCTCGTTTTTGGGATAAAACAGACAGAAAAAGAGAAAAATTAAATTAAATGTAGATTAGAGTTGTATTTGCTAAAGGAATTGAGTCTTTGTCACAAACTCTGATTTTTTTAATTTCTATTTACTTGCAGCCCAATGTGGTATATAGACCTTAAATATTTCAAACTATGAATTCTGTCAGTTCAAATAATCTAAGTTTGAAATATAAAAGGATAACACCATCAGGTTGCAAATATATAGGGATTAGAAAATTTGAGTTTGTGGCAAAGACTCAATTCCTTTGTTTATCAAAGTATACATGCTTTCTTCATATTTCAAGTAAATTGCATGAAAAAATTAATGGAACACACAGTACGAGAAATCAACATTCTATAAAATAGATAAACAAAATAACTCTATGAAAAGTTTTTTGTGAAAAATGTAATCATCGCTGGGTGGGAATTGAGGAGATGAGAGGTTTGAAAAATTTAACAAAAAAATCAAAAGTAGTTTTAAAACTCTAGATTGCAAGGATTTCTAATAAATAATCTTTTACTAAAAATTCCAGTGGTCAATAACCAAAGTCTTCTTCCTGGTGAAAAATTGATTAGAATACTCGAGAAAAAGTTATTAATACTGCTTTAATGTTCTTTCTAAAAAAGCTTTTTTTGATTTTGTAAAAGAATTGCTCTGTTTTTTAATTTTCAATGTGTTCATAAACAATATACATGGAAAAAAGTGGTTAAAAGATGGGAGGAGGGGGGGGGGGGTAATAATAAAGTAAATTCTTAAAGGGTTGCCTCTGTGGTTTCCCTCAGTATCATTTCTATTAAGCATGAAACGGAAAAAATCTGAAAAGGAAATGAGTTTTTGCCACAAACTCAGATTTTCTAATTATTATAACTTAGCAGTCCGTTTTCCGAGACCTTTGATATTTCAAACTATTAATTCTGGAAGATCAAATAGTCTAAATTTGAAATATCAAATGTTTACACCATCAGGTTGCATAGATATATGGGTTAGAAAATTAAAGTTTGTTGCAAAAACTCAATTCCTTTGTATATAATATTCTGACTGGAAGTTTTGTGCCGAGAAACTCGAGTGTACAATGTAACCTCTAATTTACCGGAACTCAATTATCAGATCGAAAAATAAAGAATTCTCCGTCGTCTATTTTCAGAGGAAGGTTTACAATGTTCCGTTGTGAATCGGAACGGCATTCTTTTAAGAAGGATCATTTAAAATTATGTTTACAGTCTTTTAAACTGTTTTCAAATGTGCGAGTCCTCCGCCATTTAATAATATAAAGTTTTCAAACTTTGCGAAATTTCCCTTGTTTCTCCAGGTTCAAACTTAGGTTACATACAGGTAGGGGAATTATTAATTCAAATATGGGGAAAATAAATTATCTTTAAGTCTGGCAAAAAATATAACAAGATTTACTCTTGAATTTTAACATTTTATCTGCAGGTAAACAATGATTTTGCAGCTCCTCTAGTTTTGATGTTATGCAGCATGCTTAAATATCAGATAAGCAAATATATCCGGTTACATTTTAGGATTTCAAACTGTTGCTCCTCTCACTAGCTCTAAAAAAGGAATTATGAAATCTCACGTGAAATTTGCATTAGTTTATCGTGGTTTTGTGTACTAAGTTATTATTTCTTTCAAAGGGATTTTTTTCTTTCAATTTTATTTTACCGAATTTCTTTTTTTCTAACATTTTTTATACAATAAGAACCAGAAATATGTGTAATTGGAAGACGACATTAAAGCAATACTCAAGTACATATGATGTTGTTTGAAAAAAAAACACCAGTAACATTTTAAAATCAATTATTAAGTAAAATGGGTCTGTTTACACTTCACAATTGATAAGTCTCATTTCCATAACTTGAGTTTTAAAGTTGTCCTCCTATTCTAGAGTTGTCTGGTTCTCACTGTAGTTTGATTTAAATCAACTAAAGTAGCTAGTAGAGGTCACAAATTCGTTCCAGTAATGTTGCATAAATTTGACCTTCTCCATCTATCTAGTGAATAGTTTAAATAAATCAACTAAAGTAGCTAGTAGAGGTCATAAATTCGTTCCAGTAATGTTGCATAAATTTGACCTTCTCCTTCTATCTAGTGAATAGTTTAAATCCATCAACTAAAGTAGCTAGTAGAGGTCATAAATTCGTTCCAGTAATGTTGCATAAATTTGACCTTCTCCTTATATCTAGTGAGTTATGAGTTATGACCAAAAAAATAAAGTTCGCGGATTTCATAATGTGTGTTCGCGCATTTTACAAATTTTACAAAAATGAATAACTTTTAAACACAAGTTTTTAAAATTTTAATCATTCATAAACCTTCCCTGGGGTCACGCGAGGTCCCAAAAAAATTTGGGCCCGATCAGTTCAGCCGTTTTGAAGTTTATTGGATACAAACAAACAGACACCCAAACAAACACCCAGAAAAGCAAAGTATATATAGATTAAATAATCTTCAGACATTGCGTGCTAGAGATTCATGTTTATTTTTATAAAACTAATTAAAAACTGATCTGATTAGAGTAATGTCGGATCTAACATTTACAAATACAGCTCCGTCGGTTGATGCAATTTTGAGTTTTGAGATACCACAAAAAATGTGCCTGATCGGTTCAGACCTAGCTTATGGTATACAAAAAAACAGGCAACCCAAACAATAATGTCAAAGGAACTGAGTTTTTGCCACAAACTGAAATTGTCTTATCTATGCAACCCAATGCCACAGACCTGATATATTTCAAACCATGAATTCTGTTGGATCATATTTGTAAAAAGATAGGAATTAGAAAATTTGAGTTTGTGGCAAAGACTTAATTTCTCTATTCATAGATGCTTTCGTTTCTCACGAACACTCCCTTTAACATAAATCAAAATGAAAAACTTGATCTTGTAGAATCTGAGAAATCTAAAATCCTTGCAAACACATGAGTGGTTCAACAGTATTTTGCATCACTACGGGGAGAGGTAAAGGGGGGGTGAGGGCTACTTTTATGGAAAGAGAATATTTTAAAGTTTTTTTTGTGCAGAAACCATAATCGATCTGTCAAATGTATAGTATACGACCTGAGCCACACTGAACTAACCAGAGAGAGAAACATCCTGTTTCTTTTATTTGAAACGTGTTTTCGTCTTTATTTCAACAATCTTTAAACTTACAGATTTGTTTATTTTATACTTTTTCATTAAAAATGTAAATGGAAACAAAAAATTATTTAAGAAGAAAGGCTATAAAGTTATGTATAAGGGGTCAAATTGTGATCGGAAGTCACAGCTTTCTGAAATATTGACAGAACCGTTAAATCCACGTGGAGCTGTGAACTCTTGTATTGTGGATATCGAGATCAATGATTTATCTTAATCTCATGTTAATCTGCAGATTAGTTTTATCTTTGTTCGATATCCCGCAGTGTAACAGTACCCTGAAGGGTTAACTGAAATCACAAGATTAAGCAAAAGGGCCTACAGTGGATATCGAGATCAAACGAATGGGAATAAGTTCTCAACTCTAGCCATATTATAGTTCAAATTAAACCATATCAATTTTAGATTATAATTTTTAATTCTTAACTTTAGTTTCTTGGCTATTAAATTGTGCACCAGTACACATAGTCAACATCGTTAATTTTAGATAAATTAATTACTCCTTAATTAAAAAACTCACTGGAGTTGCTTCTTTCTTTTATACTTTTAGGAGTCATGCATCCAATGTAATAAAGTTCAAAAATCATTAACCCTATCCCCGCTGGGGTACTTGAAAACCAGGATACGCTGGGGGGGGGGTCAATTTGACCCCCCCCCCCCTCTAAATCCCATGTTTTATGTCCAAATATGACAAATGATACATCATTAGAAAGCTCTTGTGCTCTACATTTAGAATCTGCAAAAAAGTTTGCAAATTTGCGAAAATTGAATTTTTTATCGCAAAATCCAGTTTTATAGTAAAAATGTTTCCAAAAAAAAATTTGTCCAAAAAATGACAAATTATACATTTTTGAAAAGCCCTTGACCATGCCATTTCAAATATGCAAAAAATTTTGCAAAATTTTAAATAACCTGATTTTTAATCAAGAAAAACTAAAAATGTGCAAATTTTCTTTGACAGGTTGTTTGCAAAAAATTTGCAATTTTTTTTTCGCAAAACTTGGGCAATCCGTTTCCTTGTGTCATAGGCTTTCCAAAAAGCTAAATTTTATCAAAATCTGACAAGTGAAAGTGGGTCAAAACAAAGATTTAGTTTGCTACAGGCAAAAGCAGTCATTCAGGCAGTGTGCCTGAGGACTCAGGCAGTTAGTATTAAAGCTTGGTTTTAGGCCCAAAGGGAGGGCTTTGGGTATGTAAGAAAAGTCAGAAAATTTCAACAGCCTCAGACCAATACTTTTTGAGTTATGTAAAAAAAACTACAGGGGGGGGTCAAATTGACCCCCCCCCAGCGGGAATAGGGTTAAAAAAAAATTCTTCTAAAAAATTCTAAACTCTAAACTAGCTGAAGGGCCTGGCATTGCTCGTGGAATTGTTTTTAAATTAAAATAAAATTTCTATTTTTTAGCCTATAACACCCCCAATCCCCATGCTACCCATAAGTGTCAAACAAAAAATTTCAGCCCAATCA